CGTCAATTCGACGAAGTTGGCCACATCCCCATAGCTCAAATAAGGCGGCGGGCACGGCCCATCGGCGAGCACCCTTAAAGGCCTCTGCGTGAAGACTGTTCTGATATGCACCTGAAGGAGTAAGCAAATGGCTGCTCTTCTTTACGGGTACACTCCACCAAAGCATATTCTGTAGGTTCATTTTCCAGTAGAACAATGAGACAACCTTACGTCGTTAATATCTTTGTCTTTTTCATAAAATGTATAATTCTAACCCGATTATCAGAGATGATTTTTTTCTTAGCGCACCCTATTCGTCATCTGGTACCGACCATCAGTTTAAGGTTGGAATGCCAGCATGTCGTAAAAACGAATATTTCGACTCCTTCGCCCCAAGAGCGTCGAACCGAGCAGAGCCATCTTCCTGCCTACCATCGCTACCATCTCTGAAGCCACCTATTTCGAGCAACTCGCCACCGATTTCTTATCTTACAATCCCTGATCCCTGCCTCCGTGACTTGGGAGTATGAAAAGTAAAAGAATAAATAAATAAACAAATAAATAAATAAATAAATAAATAAATCATTCAATCAAACACTTAATCAATCAATTCATCAACCAATCAATAAATCAATCACATCAGTCAATGAATTAATCAACCAATGAATTAATCAACCAATTCATCGTTCATGTCAATCAGTCAATCTTATCAATCAATCAAATAATCAATAAAGCGCGGTAAAGGATAGAAGGGTACCAGCGAATGGTGGAGCTCGGTAGGATTAAAGTCCCTGGATCCTGGGAAAGTAGCGCCATTGCCTTCCCTACCTACTAGCCGGTCACAAACGGATACTAACATACAGACCCAAACCTCGCAAGGCGATTGGCTAATCGGCCTACGTTGCCATGGAAATCGCCATCTTGGTCCATTTAAATCTTCGAAGCTTCTAGGGGGTCGTTCTAAACCAGTCGCGCCAAGATCACTATGGAGCATCATCGTACTGGAAGCGTTCCTTTTCAATATAAGAGTCTTTGGCACTTCGTATGCAATCAACTTATCAATCATGCCAATCTCTATGGATCTCTTACAATTATATTGTTCTTCTTACGCATTTCAAGACAGTAAACTTATTTTTCAGTGCCTCCAAGCACCGAGATAACATCTGGTGGTGGTACGAACGTGTACGCCTGTTTCGCCGGTGTGTGGTTAGCAAAATCTCGGTATACAAAAAACGACTCAATAAAGCTACCCGTCACCAGCGAATCTAGATAGGCTCACCAAGAACGGAGGGGTCTAGGAGAAATTGCTAATTTCATGGACCAAGATGGCGACCACACGCGGAGCTTGGCGTTACTTTCCCAGGATCCAGTGACTTCAGGTAGGATAAGATCTAAAAAGGGGTAATTCGCGCTGGGACAGCGAGGTGTAACGTCATGTACATTGTCCGTGGGCATATCGCTTCGCATTTATTTTTCATTTATAAGCGTGTGCTGAGCTTAATCATTTGATGGGACATTTTATTGTTTGCTCTGATTGGTTGTCTCCGTGGCCTGAAGAAATGTGAACAGGATGAAATGTTTTTCCTGGTGTTTACCTCATGTGTAACGGCGGTCACTTGGATTGCCTGCGTCTAACAACAAAGGAATTTTCTTTGCGTTTGCGCGTAAAGAGTTATTCCTAAGTAAATCTTACTACTCGCATAAAAAATGGTAAAGGGGTAAAAGAAAACAAAAAACCCTGCTAATTCCTGCCACCCCCTTGGTGGTGGCAGGAATTCGGAGGAGGGTGGGGACAAGATGTCCCCCCTCCAAAAGAAAAAAAGAACATTTTTTTATTGCGACAATAAAATAAGTATCCCCAAACACTCCTTCTCCCTCCAATCGTAGCCCTGGAGGTTTGAACCAGATGCAAACGCTTCATAACTAACATTTTTTTTTAAACTTAACGCACAATAAGAAAACAAAAAGTGCAAGTTTTGATATTGTCAAACACATACCTCTATGCATTCCAAGTTTCTAGACTTGCAATTTATCCGAGACGCGTTCTTATATTTTTATTGAATACATAAAGGACTAGTCTAGTTACGTGTATACGTGTTTTTCTTAATTAGCAAGCTCACATTTTTTTTCAATATTTATTCAAGAAGAGTCTTTTTTGTGCGATTTTGAAGTCTCGTAACTCAATTTCCCATCATAAAACAGCACCGACATGTTAGGGTATGCTTGTGGTAAATATAGGAACTTAGCATACAAAATATTAGAAGTGCAACGCCAGCCGTTTTCTTGTAAACACAGCTTGATTGTGATAAAATTTCTAAGAATTTCCTTAGCGCGTTCTTGGTTTCCTCAGACAGCGTTCTGGCATCTGACTTCATTTTTTTATTTGTATGCCAGAGGAACTAAGCTGGTTCACTGTAAGCGTGATATTTCCGTATGCATATTCAGATTTGTTTAAAATAAGTTTAAATCATGAGACTATTTTGAAGCTCGACTCTGTTTGCAAGAAACCGGTTTCAAAGAAGAGGGCAGCTATTTAAGCAACGATTCTTTAATTAGTGCTTTTCTCATTCTAAATAAAATCACATTCTAAGATTGTAATTTTTTGAAAGCATACTAATTGTCCTAAATAATAAAAACGACCTATGTTGTAGCAGACGACGCGCACTTGCGCCATCTTTTGAAAGATGGGTGAAATTCGAGGTAGAGAAGTTCGGGCAAAGTGGCGTCGATTCTGTCCCTGACACAGAAGATTCTTTTCTCAAATATTTCCTCGCGCTACTTCCTCGTTCTTGCTGTAAGTCACAGTTAATCTTGCAAGAAAAAAAAAACGAAAAAAACAAACAAAACAAGAAGCACGTTACGAGGGTCACGAGAAAGTTCTCGATACGCCTATACTTCGTTTCACCTTATGTTGTACCGCAGCAAAGGCTAGAAGCGCGAGCTCATAGCATTGGTAGCCGCTCTTAAGTCACGAGAGCTTGTGCCGCCGAGATGTGCGCCAGAGCATGGAGCTCGCGCTTGTAGCCTTTCCTGCGGTACATCATAAGGTGAAACAGAGTATAGTGCCTACAATTAGCTATTCAATGCTGCCCGCCATGTTCCGACACCAGGACAGGTGCAAATATTGAACTCCATATTATGGTGACGACGAAGGAGAATTTTTTTTCCTCCACTCCAAGATTTTTAACAAACATCTTTTTTAAGGTTCCAGCTTTCCAACCGCGCTGGTTCTGTTTTGTTCGCCATCGTGCAGGGATTTGAGCTTTTTAGTTTTAACGTTACTCTATCCGTACACAACTTACGGAGAGTGTTATGTGCAAACCGCTGTGACTGGTCCTCATAGTACTACAACAAACAGCCAGTCATCGCGGCTAAAACCTGAGGCTCAGGAAAGGGGTCTAATAAACCCCTTTCATGAAGTGCTCTATCAAAAGTGTTGCAGATGTGCGAAACCCTCACTAGGTTGTCTTTCTTTGGATTAATTTTTATTTCATTTATTCAAATAACAACAATGTCAGACGATCAACTTTCATGGTGTCGGCTTAATAATGCAACGACTCCAAGCTTACATTTTGCGTTTTACACCAACCATGACTCTTGTTTTTTGCACCTAATTAGAAGCAGCCAGGTCCAACTTGCTAGAAACAGCGACTCAGCTGAGACTGTGGGAAAAAAAGCAATGCCAAAGCCAGCGCTCGAGCTGAGTGGCACTCAAGCCGCGTCTCAAGACAGTCGCGTACTGCCCAACCCTTTGCAGTGCTTTCTTTCACTCAGTCTCAGCTGAGACGCTGTTTTAGCAAGCCGGGCCAGAATCACTACTCATAAAGTTTTCTTGCGCTTCTCCTTCGTTCTTCGGAGTCCCCGCAATGAGTGTTGCGAAATAAAATTAAGCGAGATCCTCACTGTAGCGAGGTTCTTTGGGGTTAGTAATTGACAAGATACAATGTCCTTCGTTTTTCTTAAAACCTGTATTTACAAAAGAAATCAAAGAGTTCATATGCTTAAACTAAAAGAAAACTTAGTTAAAAAAATGGAAGAAAGGAAAACGCAACAGTCACCATGTCCTTGAATCACCATGCGCAGCAGCGGGTCTTGTACCGTATGTAAGTCTGGACACCATGGGCACCGGCTATATATATAGTGACGTGGACCAATTAAAGTCAGTCCTGCTGCTGGAGCCAGACTGAGCGGTCATGTCTTGTCTCGTCTGATACATGGCGCAGCCGACATCGAACGCCGAGGGTTCGCGCAGACCAGACTCCAGCGAAACCGGCTCTTGCTCTGCGTGGAAGATGAACAGCCTCAAGCCGCCAGCGGAGCTGCGTCTCACTGGGAATCTCGAAGAGAATTGGCGCAGATTCAAGCAAAGGCTGGACATTTACTTGAAGGCCACGGGATACGCACTGAAGCCCGATGACGAAAAGGCAGCTCTGTTTCTGCACGTCGCGGGAGAGGAAGCGCTGGAGATCTACAACACCTTTGAATTTGCTGAAGACGAAGAAAGGGAAGCGTACGACACGCTGGTGCAGAAATTTGAACAATACTGCATCCCAAGAAAGAACTAGACGTTCGAAAGGTATGTCTTCCGGACGCGACAACAAACCGAAGGTGAGCCGTTTGAGCAATTTCTGCGCGACGTGAAAACTAAGGCTCAATCCTGCAATTTCGGAGCGGTCATGGACTCAATGATCAGAGACCAGATTGTCTATGGAATCCTTGACAAGAAACTTCGTGCAAGACTGCTACGGGAAGTCGACTTGACGCTAGAGAAGGCAGGTCAGATCTGCAAGGCAGCAGAAGTGGCTCAGCATCAAAACAGGACCTGGGAAGGGAATCAAAAAAGCGCAACCGTGGACGCAATGGAAAAAACGAAGTTGCGCGAGTCGACATCATCGTCAAAATGCGCGCGCTGCAATCTGAAGCACGCGACCCGATCGTGTCCTGCATATGGTAAGGTATGCCTGAGATGTGGAAGAAAGAACCACTTTGCCGTCCGCTGCCCTTTGAAAGCCACTTCGCAGGATCAGCGCAATTGTTGCGTTCACCAGCAACAAGAAAGAAGTAAAGAACAAGATACAAATTCCACTCACCAGGGCAGGAAGCAGTCTGCAGCCGCGTTGCGAGCTCTTCGAAACGAAGAACAGCAAAACGTCGCCCCACTGAACCTTGGCAGCGACTCCTCCGACGACTTCGACATCCTGGATATAAGCGTCTGTTCAGCAGACACCCGCCGAGACTGGATAATCACCGCATCCGTGGTTCAAGGCACTGGATCTCGCACCACGGTCGAGCTCAAGGTGGACACCGGCTCGCAAGCAAACCTGATCCCGTTCTCGGTCTTCCGAAAGGTGGGCCAAACATCTAGCCTTCGCCCCAGTGGCTCAACACTCAGGAACTACGATGGAGGTGTGATAAAGCACTTGGGTATTGCGACGTTGCGACTGAGGCTTCATGGCATGGAAAGATCAGAAATTTTCTTTGTTGTAAAGAATGGACGCCAAGCAATCCTAGGGCTACAAGCATCGGAGATGTTCGGTCTTGTCACGCGCGTTGGATCTGTAGGCATTGAGAGGAGCGTGCCTCAGGAGTTTGCAAGCGTCTTTTCGGGAACGGGTTGCGTCAGTCGTCGTTACCACATGGTTCTCCAAGAACACGCCCAGCCAAGTGTTCAGCCGGCCCGGCGCGTGCCTCTAGCTCTACGCGAACCTCTGAAAAACGAGCTGCAACGAATGGTAAAGCATGGCATCATCGAGAAAGTCGACGCACCCACAGACTGGGTAAGTCCGTTGGTAATTGTAAAAAAGAAAGACGGGACTCTAAGGGTGTGCCTAGACCCTAGACGCATTAATTTACAATTGAAAAGAGAGCATTACCAGTTGCCTCGGCGGGAGGATATTGAAGCCGAGCTGTCAGGAGCTCAATTTTTTACAACGCTCGATGCAAAAGCTGGTTTTCACCGGATTCCCTTGGATGAGGATACATCAAAAATATGTACGTTTGGAACGCCCTTTGGAAGATACAAATTTCTTAGACTTCCCTTTGGCATTTCTTCTGCGCCAGAGGTTTTTCAGAAGACTCTAAATGAAATTTTTGAAGGAGTACCGGGTGTGCGAATCTACATAGACGATATTCTCATTTGGGGACGTACTAGACAGGAGCACGATGAGCGTTTGCGAATAACCTTGCAGAAAGCTGCAAGTGCGGGTTTAACATTCAACGCGGAGAAGTGCAAATTTGCCTTGCGAGAAATTACATTTCTAGGAGACATTATTAGCAGCAATGGTATCAAGCCCAATCCCAGTTTGATCAGCGGTCTGTCATCGATGACTGTGCCAGAAAACAAAAAAGCATTACAACGTTTGCTGGGAGTAATCAACTACTTCGGAAAATACCTTCCTCACCTAGCGCACAAGACAATGTGTCTCAGAAGCCTACTAAGGAAAGATGTAATTTTCGAATGGTTACCAGCCCATCAAAAAGAGTTCGATGATTTGAAGACGCTGCTTGCAAAACCACCACTCTTGGCAATCTTTGACCCGCAGAAACCCACAAAAATCTCGTCAGACGCATCCTCTACAGGACTGGGAGCAGTACTCTTGCAGCAGAATCAGAATAATTGGCGACCCGTGGCCTATGTGTCAAGGGTATTAACCGATGTTGAATCGCGCTATTCTCAAATAGAGAAGGAGGCACTAGGGATAGTAATGGGCTGTGAAAAGTTTCACCAGTTTGTCTACGGAATGCACATAACAATTGAAACTGATCATCAGCCACTTATCTCCATTTGCAAGAAATCCATAGGGGACATGCCCCCGCGTCTTCAGAGATTCTTTATTCGTTTGCTCAAGTACGATTACACGATGCAGTTCGTTCCCGGAAAGAACCTGCTGGTGGCTGACATGCTCTCAAGAGCACCAGTCAATGACGGCTCCCAAGAGTCAACTGCCGACGTTGAGATTCACGCAACCGGTGTCCTGTGGGACTTGGTGTCTGCAGCTACCCTGACACGGTTGACAGCAGAAACTGCAAAAGATCTAGTACTACAACAGGTAATCAACGCAATTACCTCTTGCACACCTGTCGAAGGGGTCTTCAAGTCTTTTGAGTCGGACTTAACGGTAATAGAAGGAATTCTATTCAAAGGAAGCAGGGTTGTAGTGCCTCAAAGTATGCGTAAAGAAATGTTATTGCGTCTGCATGACGGACATCAAGGAATGAACAAATGTAAGGCTAAAGCACGCAGGCTTATTTTTTGGCCCGATTTAAACGAACAAATAACATCGATGATAAACAGCTGCTCCGTCTGCAAGCGCTATGCCTACGCACTGCCATCTGAACCTTTTTTAATGCGTGAAACACCGAAACTTCCATGGAGTCGGGTAGGAACGGATATATTTGAGTTTGCCGGGAAATCGTATTTAGTTGTCTTCGATGCATTCTCTAATTACCCTGAAGTTGAAAAGCTAGACGACCTGACAACCACGACAGTGATCGAGAAACTGAAAGCCATATTCGCAAGGCATGGTGTACCGATGGTTGTCACTTCGGACAATGGCCCACAGTTTTCGTCTCATGAATTCAAAGCGTTTGCTATGTCGTATGACTTGGAACATCTAACGTCCAGCCCCAGGTTCCCACGCTCGAACGGCCTAGCGGAAAAAGGAGTTCAGATTGTAAAACGAATTTTTAAGAAAACCAATGCGGTTGGTGAAGACAAATGGTTGGGACTCCTAAATTATAGATCGACTCCGCTTGAAGGGGGCCTTTCGCCGAGCGAGTTGCTCATGAAAAGAATTTTAAGGTGTAGGTTGCCCAACTTTACAAGCAGAGAAAAAAACAGCGTAAAGAAACACCAGCAGCAACACAAAGGAACTAATCTCGACGAACTTCACCCTGGCGATGTAGTAAGAATCAGGAATGCTGGGTCATGGGAACCAAAAGCGAAAGTAATTCGCAAGGTTGCACCGCGGTCTTTCGAGGTGTTAACAGAGGACCATCGTTCATTTCACAGGAATAGGCAGCACCTACAAAAGACACAAGAACAGTTCCATCTGGAGGAGGCTGACGGTACTGGCAGTGAATCGGAAGAATCTCTGTACTCGAACGACAATGAAGAACCACCAACAGTGTGCCAGCCCGCCGTAGCCACAGCTCCAAGTACGCCTGAAAACCGCCTCGGCGCAACTAGAGCTGCGAGCACAACAGCTGGGGGTAGCTCCCTTCAACAAGGGACCCAGCCTCGAAGATCAACCAGGCAGCGCAAGCCTCGGGCTGCACTAACATATGACGAAAACTTTCATCAAATAGTCCGATTCGTTTTCTTTCTTGTTTTTTTTAGTGTGTCATGAAGTTTTTTTGTTTGTTCATATTTTACTTCGTTCATTTTCATATATAACTTCTTCTTAGTGTTTATATTGTTTGTTTGTTTTTTTAAAGAAAGGAAGATGTACCGTATGTAAGTCTGGACACCATGGGCACCGGCTATATATATAGTGACGTGGACCAATTAAAGTCAGTCCTGCTGCTGGAGCCAGACTGAGCGGTCATGTCTTGTCTCGTCTGATACAGGTCTTGTGTCTGGAGCTGTCGTTTGTCGGCCCACGGTTGTGGCAGGCAGTCAGGAGGGGGAGCCATTGGCTTCCGTCGATGACCCAACAGTCACCGCAACCAGTGCTCGCGCAGTAGGAAGCCAGGCAGCATAGGTTTCTATGCGCTGCCCTCGCTGGAACAGGCTGCTGGTCAGACAGCAGGAGCGAACCGCCGATTGCCTTGGTCGATGGTGTCGTTCCGACCCAGCACGTTCTTCCCTGCCAGTCCTTTTCACGCCCTCCGTGCACGCACTATACTTCGTTTCAGCTTCGGTCCAGACGCAGCCGATGCTACTAGCGCGAGCTTGTGGCCCAGAACAGTGCTTGCACTGCACGAGCGCGCGTGCTTGGCAGGGATGCTGAAAGCCCGGGAGCTCGCGCTTGTAGCTTTGGCTGCGTCTGGACCGAAGCTGAAACGAAGTATACCAATCTCCTCTCTTCTTCGTCATCTTCCTTCTCCCTCTCAGCCGATCCATGGTTGACTTGCACTTCTTCATTTGCACACTGAGTCACATCATCACACTCAGTGCTGCCCTGACATGTTCTTCCGTAACCGGGCTAGAGAGCGGTTTTCTTGTGACCTTCACTTTCGCCGAGGAGCAATGGGACTTCTTTAGCCGCGTATAGGGATGCGACCACACAACCATGCCCAACGCCGCCTGAGCCATACTGAACAACTGCTCCCCGACCACTGCGTTAGAAAATGTGTGAAACTATACTTGCTTGAAATAACTGTAGTGAGCCGACTGAAATACGTTTCGGCTCACACTAATTATATGATTGTCTATACAAACTTGTCTTTAAGGAGATGGTGCTTCGTGTAAGTCCCTGAAGGCAGCCGGCCTCACGACCTGTAGGTCTAATTACTCTAGAAGCTTGTCCAACTCAACCCCAGAGCAAAGAGGACAACACGGTGAGGAGTACGAGCCTCTCATAGGGAATTAAAGCAATGTAGGAGCTGTAGGGCTATACCGACCCCTCCAAGCTGCCACCGCAGGGAGCAACTATCTCCCGGTGCAAAGGTCGTAAGAGATCGCGCCTCTTCACTCGAGCCCGGCCACTGCTCTGCAAACTGCTGTCCACTCACACAGGGGCGTTTGCTTATGTTTTTCTACGTTGCGTTATAACTAGGTCTTGGCACTTGATGTAATAATTTACCGATGATCAATTAGTTATTTAAACGCGATTAAATTTTTGACTAGTTAATCTATTAAATTTTGACAAACCAAAAAATAAAATTTAATGAAAAAACGGTTAAAGTGCAGGCGAGCTGGTGTAAGTTATAGATGTTGATTGAAAACTTGAGACTCTGGTTTGAAAAACAGAAAATCGTGAAGTATAAAGAAAAAAGGACAACGCCTCAAACTCAGCTAAAAGTTTATTGCCTCTACGACTTATATACAGCTCCCCCTGACGTCGAACGTCGCCACCACCGCAACGGTTGATCAATGAACTACAAACAATACACCGGGATGACAATACACCGAACCGCAACCAATACATAAAAAAACGCGTTATACAAACAGGAACACAAGGTCGTCACCACCGTAAGCGGAAGGACTTCGACGCGGACAAGGTAACACCAGCACTTGGAAACACAAAAAGATCCTCTCTAACTTACCCCCTTTCCCCCTGAACTCAACCATGAATCCCACACAGTCGCCAACAATGCCCCCCATTACGATCCCCAACCCAAAAATGCAAACAATTGCGAAGCAGCCTTCTCCCCTTTTGCGTTCACCCCACACTAGGTCTTCACAGTCAAAGAAACTTTTTTGACTCACTTCCAATTTGTAGTGTTTCCCGATGTTTTTTGTGAACAGTACTCGCACAACACGCCTCATCTCCTCACGCTCTTTGTGTACGATTTCTGTCTCCGACCAGTTCGCTGTACATGCATTACACTCTTGGATATGCCTCGCTAGTTCAGAGTTTGAAGCGTTAATCCGCACATTCCGTTTATGTTCTGGACATACAGAGAAGGAGCGACGAAAAAAATCCGCGAACTCCGGAGTGCGTACTATAGACTGTGGGACTTCAGGACAAGCAAGGAATATCGACACTGGGACAATGTCAAGAAGGCGCAGTACAACCATATTTGGTGTGCGAAAAGATTGCATGTTTTGAGCTCGATCAAGATGATGAAACTAAGGAATGTGACTGTGCCCGACGTTTGGATACATGGCCAGGGTGAATTGGTGTATAAACCAGGTGTAGTGAACCCTTGTAAAGAACCGATTTCGGAAAGAACAGAAGCAATCCTGGAAAACGTTTCCAAGTTTTGTATGAATGTAAAGCCTTCCAGACTGGATGTGTTTTCCGTGGTCCATACCGTTGCACGATATGTGAATCACGATGAAAGGGTTTCATTTGTCGATCAAACTGTTGGGAGATTAGAAAAGGTTATGGGGGACGAATACCCGTTGGAAAGGAGAGGAAGAATTTTAAAGATATAAACATGGTGAAGAAGGAGCTGGAATCAAAGTCTTTGAAACTCCTTCAAACAGATAAGACCGGACGGTTTGCTGTCATCCCGGAGCAGGTATTCCGGAGAAAGACAGACTATGCTTTGGGGTCGTTGTTAACGGAATGGAAAGGAAACTTATGAAAGTTAAGGAGAGACAATTATAACGTACAAAAAGATGAGGAAAAGGAAAGTGTAGTGAAGAGCATCATGTCTCAATCCAAGACGACTCTATGTTTGAAATTCTATTTAAAAGACCACAAGGTTGACATGCCTTTCCGAGTTGTTATAACTGAAATTGGCACTTGGCAGAAGATCGTCTCTTGCTTTCTCTAACGTGGGTTAGAGCTAATCTCCTTGGAGCATGCACTCTCTATCCTTAAGAAATTCAGGAGAGCTTATTGATGTCATGAGTAGCAATCACGGTAGGAAGTGTTCAGTTTTCGCAATAGACATAAAGGATCTATTTTATTCTCTTGAAATGAAAAAAAAAACTGATGTCGGCGGTAAAGGAACTCTTAGAACTAAATCTAGTGAAATTTCAGTCAGAGTCGGGAGTGTCGGTAGATGGTTTTCTCATAGTTCTCGACCGATACCTGCAGTCAACATTTATTGAGTATGATGAACGGATGTACGTACAGCAGGAGGGTGTCTGTATAGGATCGTCGGTCGCGCCGCTTTTGGCCGAGTTTTATCTCAACACCCTAGACAGAGTTGTGGTTGAGAAGATGAGGGCTGCACCCAGATGTAGGTTTTGGTCGAAGATAAGTAGACGATATAATTGTGTGCACTTTTCAAGATAACCTTTCGGATTCTCTACAAAACGTAATAAGTTCAGCGGCCCCGGAGCTGCGTTTCACTGTGGAAAAGCCGGAGGAAAATGTCATTCAATTTTTGGACTTACGCATTCATGTGGGCAGTGAGTTGTGTTGTGAATATGGGAAGCAGGCACCAAAACCCGTCTTATCGAAGCAGAGTCGTCATTCTAAAATTGTAAAGGCAGGGGTAGTGAAGTCTCTTACCCAGAACGCTCTACAAAGGTCATGCATTCATTACATGGAGCAGTCTTTGAAGAGACAATGGGGAAGACTGGAGAGGGCCGGCTATCAAGAATCCTTCATGGAACGGCAGCTTGCTCTACAGATCGAAGATAAGCAAGATAAGCGAAGTGTCAAGAACCGAAGGGCTGCGATTCCATATCTTCACGCCATTTCATGTGCAGAGAGATTTGCATGTGCAGAGAGATTTGGGGTTAACACCGTTTTCACATGTGATTTCAAATTAGCTAAACCGACTCCTTTTGAGGCAGGACAGAAAGAATGTAAAAAAATACATCGCGACAGATCTTTTTCATGTGTCAGTGAAGTAGTGTATGAAATTCCTTTGGAATGCGGCTTTAAATATGTTGGTCAGACTGCAGGATGCATTAACGATAGGTTGACAGAACATAAACGGAATGTGCGGATTAATGCTTTAAACTCTGAACTAGCGAGGCATCTCCAGTCTATCCATGCTAGAACGCAAACTAAATGATGTAGAAAACTGCATTGGGCACTGATTGGCTATTCTCTCGGGTCACGTGGCATGACGGTGAAATTTAGTTTTTCCCTATGCAGTTCGAGCTATGCTCGTAAAATGATGCAGTTGGCGGTGACGTCAAAATGTCGTCACGATGCACTTTGACGATGCAGTTAAGTGAGTGGTCGAGACGAAGCAAGAGATCAATCGGCATCGTAAAAGATGGCGACCCTAACATATGCATCTCTACTGTTGGGTTCGCCAGCGGATCGAGTTTTTAGAGATCACCGGGATGCTTTCGAGACGAGCGATGCGAGGTTTGTGGGAGAATACCGGCTCACCAAAGGGGTGACTCGCTGTCTGTGCAACCAGCTTCGCGGAAAGCTCCAGCGTTGTCGTGAAGGCCCCCGTGTGCTGACGGTCGAACAACAAGTCCTCGCAGCTCCGCGCTTTTACGCCGCTGGCGGCTTCCAGGGAACCGTCGGGAGCGACGAAAACATTGGTGTTCACCAGTGCTCTGTGAGTCCCGTACTTGGTGATGGCACCAACGCTATCATCAATTGCCTCGGATCGAAGTGGCTGTGTTTCGAACTAACTCAAGCAGAGAAGGCGCTCACAAAAAGGAAGTTCTTCGAGTGATGCAAGTTCAGCGGCGTGATCGATAAATATTCTAAATACTCTTACAAAATTCAACACAATTGTGTTTATATTTGAGTGCACCCCATACAAGCGATTTGGCTGAGCGAAAACCCAAGCAAGCAACGGTAACAGGCTTAAGTTGAGCTAGTTCGTTCATACCTCAGGTAGAGAGAGAGGGAGATATATACTCTATTTAAAAAAAAAAACTACTTCAGGTAAAGCCAGCTGAACTAGAATAAACATACACATAAAGAAAAGACCATACACACCGTGGGACTAACAATTGATTTTCTTTTTCCTCATCTTCTGCTACAAACCCAACTTGTGGGAAATATTCTCTTTTCTTCT